TCTTGACTCTGCGCAATTCCCTTCTCGTCGTTTTTTTCAAGGATACAAAGTTGCTAGTTTTTGATAAGGCACTATAGTTGGCGATTCGCATGTATTAGTTGTTAACTTACACTGCAGGTGACTTTTACAGTGTATGAACGTGCTTCTAGATTATCTTCAGCGATTTATGGCCACCCAAGGCTTACCGGTGAGTCTAAGAACTCAACACTGTTCAAGATTTGTCTTTAAAGGTCAAAGTGCAAAGCATATGATCAGTCTAAAAATCCAATGTTTTTTTTTTCAAATTATCATATTCTATACATTATTTAATACGCCTATTCGCATTTCACAATGTCGTTTGTAAAGCCATTCACATTCAATTGGAATATCTAATTGTGCAAATGTGTAATGAAATGCGTGTTCAGCGACTAAAGTTACCATCGATTCTTCATTCCCCAATATGACTCTTGATGCCCATTTATTTCTGTACTAGGCTCGTGTTTCAAGTTTCCCTTGCAAAGTTAGGCATAGTCGTCTCAATGCCATACTCGTGTATAACGCACCTCCGATTAGCATGGTTGCCTACGTACGGTGCAGACAAGGTCTAGATACATATAACAGCTATTTGAATCCATTCAGAATATTTAAAATTAACAATATCCTGTCTCACAAAGTAAAAATAAAAACAACGTCTTGGTCCATCAGCCTATGGGCCCTCTGCACCAATGTGTTCCAGCAGCATTTGTTTAAGCAGGCAAACTATTAGACTGGTCTTGACTCTCTTAGCCACATCAGACAACACTGAATTACACCAGAGACTATAAAATATCACAGTAGACGATGTGTAGATGCGTAGAAGTTGGGCACACGTAGCATGGAAGTTGGGGTTCCGCTGACTCTTATATAATAGCACACAGATGTGTGGGCTGTGTGTTGACGCCAGACATCGTTTCGCCCAGGGCTCTCGTATTGCCATCGCGCGCCCCTTTGTAAAAGCACAAACACCGTCGGCATTGTTGGAGAGAAGCAGCTGCAATCAAGGCCAGGGGAGACGCGTGGCCCATTCCCACTCTCGTGATCCGAGCGATGCCCATCACGACAGCAATGTGAATAGACACGCCAGCGAACGAATGGGTCAACAGAATGTCTTCAAACCACCCTTGTGATGTCCTGAATGAATGCCAAATGCAAAGCACATATACATCTGGTAATTTCAGATGTACGTCATCGTGTTCCATTTATTTATTTTGGCTAGAGACACGTTTAAATTACATACATATCCACAGTCCAGTGTTCGGGTGTTTTGTATATTATAATATGCGCTGTCGAGGGCTTAATATCTCACTAAATATTTTCTTTGTCTTTGGTAGACTGGGAGGTGATATGTGATGTATGTAAGTATGTCGAAGTTATTTCGCACCCGTACGTAGCCAACCGTCCTAATCGTAGGTGCGGGGGTCAACAGAATAAACACAACAAGCTATTTTAAAGGAATTCGTTTTCAATCGAGATTGAAAAGTGCAGAGCTCCAGTGAGCAGTCATAGCGAGGGCTATACTGAATGCAGTACGCTGGGTGCGGGAAATTTTCTTGGTCGTCGACTCAAACCGACGTGGCTACAATAAAGGCACCTGTGGCGGTAGTTGTAATACAGTTTAGTTCCCCTAAACATGAGCGGTTTCAGCCACATGCCAACTTTGGGCCAACTTTGGGCCAACTTTGGGCCAACGTTGGGCCAACGTTGGTCCAACGTTGGTCCAACGTTGGTCCAACGGTTCCAGCCACATGCCAACGTTGGACCAACGTTGGTCCAACGGTTCCAGCCATATGCCAAAGTTGGGCCAACGTTGGTCCAATGATTCCAGCCACATGCCAACGTTGGGCCAACGTTGGTCCAACGGTTCCAGCCACATGCCAACGTTGAGCCAGCGTTGGTCCAACGGTTCCAACCATATATCAACGTTGAACCAACGTTGGTATGTGGTTGAATAATAACACTGTATAGCGTCCCTGCAAAACAATGGCATGCAGTATCTACATCTAGTCTGGGTCTCCTTTAGGTTTACTCGTGCCAGAATGTGCACTTTACCTGTGTGGACAATTAGAGTACTGCGGGAGACAAAGGCGATCAAGGCGAGTATTGATGCCGGCCCCAGCATTGATCTTGTCTTCTTGGCTTGATTAGGTGCTCACACCAGTAGCACTCGCCACAATCCTAAATACATATAGGGTTATAGGGAACCGTAAGTCTTCGCTTATTACACACACGGCCGTTTCAATCACAGCAACGGCATTGGAGTCATCATCAGCCTAAGACTCCCCACTGCTCTCTCAACGTTGGCTTGGAGCTCGGGCCAATCGACGAGAGAGAGGCGGACAGCTGCGGTTAAAAAAAAAACATGTAAAGGCGCAGCCTTGCAATGGCATTGCCCACGCCACTGCCGGTAGTGCTGGCAGAAAAGGGACTTCTCTTAGAGCAGAGGTCGGCAACCTTTCGGAAGAAGAAGAGACTTTTTGTTGTTGTTTTTGACCCAAAATAGTTCGAGAGCCGCATCACGCGCAGCAGAGCTTAATGTACACAAAACACGGCAGCAGGCATGGAGCAGACGATAAACACATTCTGACTTAAATGGACAAAGTAGGTGATGGAATAAACTGCGTCTATTTAGTTTGTGTCCTCCCCTTAATTCTTCTTCAACAATACAGCTCCACTGTTGCACATTTTGTCGCCACCAAGACATTCCATGGTGACACAGTCCCTGCCGCATTCAATCAATTATCTTTACGTTAAATTATGTTTAAGATTTAGCTTTTTTTTTAGAGCCCCGAGGGGGGTAGCCAAAGAGCCACCCGCGTGCCGGATTTTCCCAGTAGCACAAGTAGCTACACATGTAACTACGGGCCCCGCACTTTCAAGGGCCCCGCGCTAAATGCTTTCAAGCTATAAATTCCGATTCAGTGATTCTGCACTTGCTCTATTACTCTAGTACTATACCGCCTTCAACTTTTATGAACGACAGGGTTATTAAGGCTAGCGATTTGTCGTATTATCTGGCTGTATAGCAAATGAAAAAAATACAATTACTTCACTATGCAAGTTAAAAACACGTGTGTTACTATTCACGTGTTTTTATTATGATTTAGGGCCAACCTTTATAACATATGCTACAGGCCCCGCACTATCTTCATCCGGCACTGTTCCGGTGCCGCAGGTTGCCCACCCCTGAGCTGAGATTAAAGCTCTCGGGAGCCCCACTCGAGCGAATCTGTCGCAACGTTTTGGTGACGGTCGGGGTGTGCCCACTGTCCACCACTTGACCACGCCGCGCGCGACGAGACACGATCGATGTCTGTTATCGATGTCTGCTGTGGTATCGCCGTCGACAACCACACACTGCTGTGGAGCGCGAGAGGAGGCGCGCGGGGTGGGGGGGGGGCATTTCATCACTAAGGGGCCGTCCATAAATGACGTCACGCACCTGGGGGGCGGGTGGGGTCAGACATTTGTGACGAGGGGGGGGGGAGGGGGTTGAGAAATATGACGTCACATCAAAATACGCAACTTTAAATAAATATAGACAACACGTTCTACTTAATTAAATAGACTTTTTAATAAATGTTTTCTCCTACAACATCAGAGTGCAGCGCCACATTAAATACGCACTACAATGACAATAGTTTAAAGCGATTTGAAGCATGTTTTTTTTTGGGGGGGGGCAGAGCTTTGTGACGTCATATTTGAGGGGGGGCTGACTTTTTGTGACGCCGCGTGACGAGGGGGGGGGTCAAAAATCGTCCAAAATCGCGTGACGTCATTTATGTACGGCCCCTAAACACGTGGCCGTGATGTGCACATGCCGCACCAGGAGATGGAACAGAGCTGGAGACTTGCGGGTTGCAAGTCGACTTGGAAATTGAGCATCACGCATAAGGAGCCGTGCTTGGTAATGATTATACATTGTGTAACAACAAAAATTGTTCCTGGGTGGTAAGTGTTGTTTTCTAATTTCTTATGCCTCAAAAATACATAAAATGGCTGTTATTCCCCACAAACTTTGCTTTTGTGACCAGGACAGTGATATTTTGAAATTTACCTATTTTCAATGAGAAAACGCGGTGTGCGTTTGTGTCATTCCTTCACAAAGAGTCCTGGTCACAAAAGCAAAGTTTGTGGGGAATAATAGCCATTTTCAATAATTTTGAGGCATAAGAAATTACAAAACAACACTTACTACCTAGGGACAAACATAGTGTTACAGAGTGTTACCACACTGCACGCGCGATACAGAGAGGTCGCCAGTTCAATTCGATTTCACGCCGCGGCATAATTATACAAACCAAGGGCACTTTATGTGTTCATCCCCCCCCCCCCCCACGCTTCGGGAAAAGTAGACCAAATACCCTCTCGGGATTCCCTCTAAGAGCGCACCTCAAGAGGAGGGAAGGCCCTGTTCCACCAACCGGTGGCGTCATCGAGGTCCTCTTCCGTGTCTTGCTTTAGCGTCGCGACGCTGCGGCGTTAACTCGCCGATGTGCTGCACATGATGAACTCAGCTACTGCCCGGTGCGCGTGCGTGTGAATGCTGACAGCGCAAGAACACGTGTTTAAACAAACACGCCGAGCTGCGAACGCATGCCAGGCCTTGAGATCAAGACACACGCTCCGCCGTCCCCCCCAACACACACACACACGGCCGTGCAGAAGATGGTCTTCAAACAGCCTCGCACCACCGCCACCACCGACACAACCCATCGGGCCCCAACTCGAGCATGGAAGCATCCCAACCCCCATACAGACATGGCAAAGTCCCCCCCTCTCTCTCTCGCCGGTAGCACCCGCAGATCCCCCAACCAGATTTGGAAGAAAAAGTCAGGGGTTGTTCCCCCCTCCCCTCCACACCCCCCCCATCGCCCCCTTCTTGGATGGCTCCCTCTCCCGCCCCCTCTTCCTGAAACGAGAAATGCGTCTGCGATTGGCTTAAGCAAGCGCGAATGTCCCCCCACCAACCCGCCTCCATCCCCTATAGCCGCTGCGTGCAAGGGAGCCAACCAAAAGGTCCCTCAAAGCCCATTCCCATCTCCTTCCCAACCCCACTCACTCACTCACCGCAACCCATCGACCGCAAAACTCCAAAAAAAGATCGCCAAACGCACGGCGCCTCCACTGTCGCCGTCTTCGCCTCTCTCCACGCAGTTTCAGGACTCGTCTGAAGGGGGGGGGGGGTTGTTGTTCGTGTGGGTGGTTGGTGGTGGGCACTGTCCCCTGAACTTGTCTCTGTCTCTCACATCTAGCTTCGGAGCTCTTCGACTTTTACGTTTCCAGCCGGCAAAAATTCCGAAACGTCAGCTGCTGTGAGTTTGTTTACATATATGCACATATGTCGTGTTGTTTTTGTCTAAACATATGTTGCTTACGACTTGTATTTGTTGTTTACACTGTATTCTTTTCTTTATAACTGCGATTGCTCAAATCTGACTGCTCATTAACAGGAACATGTTGAGTTATTTGTCCTGGAAGCTTCTGGACGTTCAAAAGCCAGGTCCTGTCTTAAAACCACACTGTTGTGTCGTTATCTTACTGCTATTGCATTTACCGTGGTATGTTTTGAACAGTCAATTTGCGAATGCTCTCGTGCAGTACTGCAGTCTGTGTGTGTGTTCCTGTATTTGCAGTTGCCACATCACTAGTGTCCGATATACACTTTATAGATATGGTAACCCAGCAATATGTAATACAGTGGTGAAAGTGCCATAGCCATGTGCATGTGTGATTCAGTGTCAGTGGTTGGAATGCAGTAATGGCTGATGCAGATTGCCTTCTAACGTCTGTCTATGCATCTGTACTAATAAGTGCGGTGCAGTGACATCGTTGCTGACCACACTACACTACACAGTCCTGACAACCCCAGTTTAGTGCCCAGACATAAAACATCACGGACAATTGCTCTCTGATCCTGGCCTTTAGGCATCACCTTAGATTGACTGAGGCGAAAATTACCATCGAGCAGAATGTGCACCGACCTCACATTGGGTGACTTTATATGCAGACGCAATGGGAACACATTTTTTTTTGTCTTTGTGCGTGAACGGCAGGGCTTGAATGAGCGGTCACTCGGAGAGCAGAAGCCTCAAGTTATCTGCGCCGATCGTCGGATGAATGACTTTAAATCCCGGTCGTGGTCCGAGAGCTGGATCCAGACTCAACGAGAAGATTAGAGCGGCACGGTCGTAATCATCTCGAGAGAGAGAGAGAGAGACGATGCAGAGCGGCTGTGCCCAATTCAGGGGCCTCCGCAGCTGGCTCCTGCTCCTCCTGGCACTCGGCGCTTCCCTGCGACCCCGCGTCGCGTGGGGTCAGGAGGACGATGAGGTGATCATCAACAGGGACGAGGTGGGCAGTCCCACGGCCGACGGGAAGGGGCAGCCCGAGATCCCAGAGGGGGCATCGACGCTCGCGTTCGTCTTCGACGTCACCGGCTCCATGTACGACGACCTGGTGCAGGTGATTGAGGGGGCCTCCAAGATACTGGAGACGTCTCTCAACCGGCCCAAGAAGACCCTGTACAACTTCGCTCTCATTCCCTTTCACGACCCCGGTAAGATGCGACGTGAAATGTGGAGAGCTCATTGATTCCGGTGCCGCTACCCCCGTTTTTTTCATTATTAGGCCACGTGACTTGGCGTGCCGCAGTTCTGATTCATAGAAGTTAAAGTGTCTCCGTGGTTGAAGAAGAGAATTGGGACACTGACGTTCCTGTGGTGGGGAACTCATTTATTCATCGGTCAAACACGGGTTTTGCATCATCACACAACGTGGCACAGGATACCCATCGGTCTGGTAATTCATTCAGACCCTAATCTAAGCCGCTGTATTTGTGCCACGGAGCACAATAAGTGTACTCATCTCATGTTGAAGCCCCGAGCCATTTGTCGATATTCCACATTCCCATGGCTTTTGGCTTCCCACAAAAGTGAGATTTTTGTTTTCGTTTACGCCATGGAGATGACGTAGGCTGAGTTGAACAAAGCACAACTTAAAATGTACAAATTAAACTCCAAATGCCAATGTTACAAACGCACAGGCCTGCCGAGTTCTCCCTTGTAGAGGGGACGATGAGCCCGAGTTGCCTTGCACCTGGTTAAATAGAGAGCACCGAGGTTGGCCGAGCGCCAGTGCAAATCCTACCGGCTTTGTATCGTCTGTTGTTTTGAAGAGCACCGAGTTTACAATGCGCCTGGTTTGGGGCACACGACGACGTTTTCTCGTCTCTGCCGGGTCGCGCGACCCTCCCCCCCCACGTCCCCCGCCGTGCGCGTTGCTTGTCGGGCGAGGCGGAGGAGGCTTAGTCCCTGCGAGCAGTCGGGAGATTTACACTCCGATGGCTTTGCTCCCATTCCTCCCGCAAACCTGTTTCTATTTACGAATTTTAACGGGCGCACTGCTTTGCCTGTTTCGTGTTGTTACGCGGAGTATTCATCAGAATGCTTTTGTGGCATGCGTGCTGTGTGGTTCTAAGAATGGTGTTTATAAATCATACCTTCTTATCACCCTCATCTTCACATCCATCCACTCGACACACTGAACTAGCTTCTTACCCAACTGCAAGATTGCGATGATCGTGTTAAAGATCCTTCATGGACTCACCCCCTGTCTGTCTCTTCCACCTGGTCGATATCTCCACACCCAGCCACCGATGGGGTTTTTTTTTCCTGTTGTAACTACCGGTTCACTCGCCTCTCAATGGGGGGGGGGGGGGGGGGTCGTTCATTCTCCTCTGATGCCCTGGCTGTCCGGAACCGCCCCTCCCTTCTGGCCATCCACACAGCTGACTCACTCTGCTGCTCAAGTTCAGGCTACTGTTTTTCCGTTTCTCCACTGCCTCTGACTGTTTATCTCTACCTGATTTGTTCATTCTTACTCATAAATAGAACGTAGTCTCCATTCCCTTCCTGCACTCCACTCATGCCCCTCTCCCAACAAAAAAGTATCCTGTTTCAGATTGTATATATATTTAAAATTCAATCCCGTTTTTTTCCGAAGCTCACTAAAATACACAACCCCGCTGGACAAGGTCTCGAGATGCAGCCTCATTGAAATGATGTGCATTTCCAAACTGTCTTGTGTTTTGAGACATTTTAAATAGCTGTCTAAATAATATTTTAACACGAACATGCATGACGCTGTGTAGACTTGCACAGTTGTGCTGTTATCGCTCAGCGACGTGTTTCCAGGCCGTACCACGTGGTTGTTTGCCAACGATGTGCCGACGTCATTTCGCTCCGTGTGCTGGGAGCTCACTTGCTGAAGATGCTCCCCAGCATGTGGAACAAACGTCGGACGCCGTGTCAAACAACACGCTGGTGCATGCGCGGAAAGGCGTCGGAGAGCTAAACGTGCACGCACGCACATGTCTGAAAAGGTGCGCTGCTGGCAAGTGGCTCCGATAAGAGGCCCACAATTGCGGTGGTTTTCAATCAAAGCGTTGCATGTTCAGATGAAAGATATTGAAATGGAACGGAATTATGTGAAAACCCCACAATGCCTTGAAAACCCAACAGAATGTTGTTGTTGTTTTTCTCATGTTCTAAACTGGACTTCAGCATTGCTTTAGCAGTGTCCTGCCATAGGCACCAGTGCACTTGAGACATCTCCAATCAACTTCAAGGTTCAAACCCAGAATCCCTTGTGTACTGCCCCAAAACTGTTTGACAGATATTGAGTGTTCTAGCGTTCTAAGCCATTGGCTGATTTTTTTTTTAAAATGCACGCTTTTAGACAAGCTAATGCACAAATAGCTGTTTTCTATTCACAGCGTGTGGCTTGTTGCATATTCTTACAGTAAGGATGCTGTGAAATAAATAGGTGAAAACGTAAAAGTGCTTGAATGGGCATTGTGGCTGCAATTTATGTATGTTATAAATGGGGCCTAAGCCACTACTGTAGTGGAAATTCCATATTCTACCTTTTGTGGTTGATCACTGTTGACTTTACACAAAGTGGTACTCCTTTTAGCAGCCCAGGAATTTTGATGGGCTGAGTAAGCCCATGACCGAGATTTGAATTTGTAATATTTTAACCAGGCTGGTTGATTTTAGAAAAAAATATTTTATGATCAATACCATTACAAACCCGTCGCGTGATTCTGAAAAATGTATCGTAGGGTTTCCAGACCAGTTTTCACAACTTCTTATTCACGTCTCATATAACATTGGTGGCACTGTACAAGGCAAGAATTGCCTTATGGCAGTTTGGTTCAGAGGAAATGTCCAAGCTCAGCAACATGATATCGTGCCCCATGATTCCACCATACAAAAGGCAATGTAATTATTTAATGGTAATGTTCTACATATGCATAACGCACAGCACATCAGTGCAGTCATAAAACACTTGCGATTTGTAACAGCACGAATGGAAGCATATTTGTCTCAGGGAACAAAGATCTGCTTTGTGCAATTCATATATGTTTCTTTTTACGTATATAATCGAGAACATATTGTGAGGGAAAACATTCTTACCTTTGGCAGTATGATATTTAATTTTGTCAACCACTGCCGTGCTAAAATTCCATGGAAATGTTCAGCAGTGCCAGTCGGTGTTTTCAGGGCATTGCTACTCCATTGCCTACGCTGCAGTATATCATAACAGACAGAGCCGCATGCCAGAGAAGCGTCTACAAAGCAGTGAATTGGGGTTCAGTGATGACATCTTCCAGGACCATTCTCAGACATGATGGGGTGCCAAAGACTTTTATAAGGTCATTTATTAGCCTTAGGAATAACTGACACGGTAATTATGATGTACTGTTGGCACGTGCAGATTTGTTGTACGTTTGATGTATTGATACAAAAAGGTCATGAACATACACCCACCCATTAGGTTCTGTGAGATAGGAGCAAAGCTATTTTTTAAAATCTGAAATCAATATTGCTTGTTCTCAGCACCTTGATAGCTGGTGAAAGTTATGGACTTCTTTTCAGAACTACTAAAACATTGCATGGATACCATTTTTTCATGTTAATTTAAGGTGATCTATTCATGCTGCGTGGATGCAAAGTATAGCGGTTTGTTGGTTGTGCACAAATAAATAAAGAATTGGTTCACACAATCATTATTTTTTCATGACCACATTCCTCTTAATGTGCATAAATCTCGGAGGGAAATGCAAGATTGGTTACATCACACACACAATTGAAGTCTTCAATCGCAGTGCTACGTTGAGACTGCAATGTTAATTACGCGCGTGCTGCATACAGATCAATAGAGATCACAGATTAAGAATCCGTTTATTTATTTATTTATCCGGTATGATATGATATATTATAGTTTACGATGTGACGATCATCACGATGTCAGTTTCCGTTTTCACATTATTGTCAAATTGGTTTTGTACTTCGAAGTTATTGAACTGCAGGTCGTTCCATATAAGTCTGCCATGAGTATTGCTAATGATCAAATATTACAATCCATCATGCTTATAACACATATACTGTCAGAAATCGTTAAAAAGCATTAATGTTATGGGTAATAATAGTTTTTTACTTTCATTATTCTTGTCAACTTTAATTGTGTTATTTATTAAATATTTTGTCAGGAAATGAAATTTTTAAGGAAAATTAAATGAGGCAAAAATCACAATATGACGATATCTTGCAATGTGAACGATACACTTACCTTACATCGTACCATGTGCTGGAGTATTGCCGTATTTCGGCAATCTAAAAAAAACTATTCCGGTGAATGTTTTTTTAATTTCACCGTAAGTGTCAAACAAAGACCTCACGAACCAAAACAAGCTCATTGCCTGGCGGTGGTGGCTACGCACGCCTGTACTCCAGTGCCGTGGAGGGCAAGGGTTAGTGGATCACCGCACAAATCTTGCCAAAATCCCTCCCCGTGGCCATCGATGAGATGCCATATACCCTAGCTTGCGACGAGAAAGGCGGCGAAGCAAATTGTTGAACTCCGTCTGCTCCGTCTGTATGGGATCGAGCGTTGCCCCCCCCCCCCCTCTCGTATGCGCGGGTTTTCTCCGGGTGCGCTGCTTTCCTCGCACATGAATAGATTTGGCCAAACATCGCAATAAAGGGCCAGGTAGCTTGACATCGGTTCTGGCTTCCTATCCGCCCGTCTGTGCTTTCTCGTGCCTCTAAATCTGTAGAAGCTGCGTGCGTTACAAATTTGTAACCTTAAATTCAGCAGCAGAAAAGCAGAAACCTTTGCCACTTCACACGCCTGCCTTTTAAAATGCATTGTAATGGTTATGCTTTGAGAATGGCCGAAAAAATAGGGATAACTCGAGTTTGGAGTTAAAAAAGGGGTGTTTGAGGCACTTTAGTGAATCACAGTAACACCTCGATATGTGTATACTTGATCAACGAAGTTTCCGTTTTACGAACTTTGGGTTTATCACCATTACTTTAAACAGCAAGCTAAAAAGAAAGTAAAGTAATAAATAAAAACACTGAAATCAATGAATAAAGAAATTACAAATGTGCGAATCATATAAATAGCAATAACATTATGAGATGGATTCTTGATTGTGGCGCTTTGGGATGTTTATTTTGTGTCAGTTTTAAATTTAAATACTGTACAGTG